AAAAAAAAAAAAAAAAAAGAAGGGAAATAAAGAAGGCTGTTACAGGTGGAACCTGCTTGTAATTGTCTCATTGTTCCATCAGAGGTGCCCTGAGGAATGTGATAGTTCTGTACACAGTGTCTGGTTCTGGGCATTGGGAGTGGCACTAGGCACCTGGGCACACAAGAAAGGAGTGAACAATGACTAACTCTGTCCGCCTCTCCCTCAGACAGAGTTAAACAACCATGTTTAATCTGGGCAATGACAAATATTACTCTGCTGATTATAATTCATGTGGCAGTGGGATTGCGATTTGGAAGGGTTTATGGGAGGGAAACTACAGTTATGCAGCTACACTCTGGGAATGGGGAATCAGTTAGCTATTGGACTGGTGCCATTTGGAAAGCTAGTTTGTGAGTGGCCTCTGGGTGAGGCTGATATCCAGAGTTGAGTGCTGCTCCTGGGGATGCTTCTTCCAGATGGCAACCTACCACCTCAGTGCCTTTAGCAGGGGCAGTGCCTCCCTCCTGACTGATTGTTTGCGCTCCAAACCCAGTCATGGTTTTCCAGGTGCCCACCCTTCTATTGGAGTCCCTTTGCCTCTCTGGTTATCTTTTTGTGTAGGAACCCTCTAACAGCCAGTTCTCCTCGAAATACAAATTCCATACCTAGGAGCTGTGTCCCTTTACCACTCTGGCAGTAGCAGTGCAGCTGTATCCTGAAGGGGTTGAGAAATTATTGAAGGATTAGAAATAAGGAGGTACTAAGATTCAATTTGATTGTAGAAAGAGCTTGGCAGCAGGGTACTGGGTGAGGACAGGTGAGGCTGGTTATGGCGAAAGCAACTAATCACAGTTGCAGAGACCTGGCAAGAGCTAATGAGGATCTTGGCAACAACAAGGAGATAGATTCAAAACTATTAATGTTTTAAATATGAAAAAATTAATGAGTAGGTGGCAGAGGAAAAGTAAGTCACCTGCCAAATGCCTTTTTGTTTTATAATTACAATATAAATTTCATTTTGAAATATTGAGATGGTAATATAGGGAAAATCCATAGGAGAAGTCATATGTGTCATCAGGCTATATTTGATATACAAATTTTGATACATATCAGCTTTCCTTTTCTCTTCTCAATTTATAAATAATTTGCAACAAATTGCATTCTCTAAGGAACATTTATGATTATCATTAGTTCTATCCTTTTTCAAAGACTTGCCTCATACATTTGCTTTTAAGTACTTAGGGTGTATAAGCCATAAATAAAGAAAGCACATAAATAAATTTCGGCTAATTTGAACTTTCCTGTGAAATAACAGATTCTCTTCCAGGCCTCATTCTTGTTTGTGTTGAAGTTGGTCCCATAAATCCTCCTCGTTTTCATTTCCAGCCGCACAGTTTGATATTTATTTTAAGCAGCTGCTCTTGGAAGGTAGAATTTAGCAGTGATTACCATGGCATAAGGTGGATTTCCATGTGGGATCAGGATTGCTGTGTGGCTTTTCTTTTAATACCCCTTTCTTTCATGCCTTTTCACCTGCTTTGTAGCTATGAAAATGAATCTAGAAACACTGCTGTTTGGCGTTTTAGCACATGCCAACCTGGCAATAGGACACTTGCCAATTTTGCATTAAATACCATTGAAATAAATGAATCTGGTGAAAGTGTGGAACCCTGAACCCTGAACCCTGCAATGTAGAACAGCTAACAGGTGCTCAACTGAGGCTCCTCTGGCAGATGGGTAAAAGTTAAACACAAATCACACCATTGCTTTTTCTTTGGGTTCACTTTGGGTTTACATTTATTTTTAATGTAACACCAAAAATTCTGTTGCATTAGTTACAAGAAACTCCCAGCAAATGTTTCTATTTTAAGTTTTTCTGAGACCTCTGACATTGTAGTCACACTGTTTTTTATTTTATCAGTTCATTGAACAAATAAAAACAAATTCTTGAGCAGTATTAAAACTTCCTTATTCATATTTCTAATATTGAAAATAATGAGAAATAATCACCAAATATTCACAGTGGGAGATAATATCTCTCTTTAAAATGTTTATTGTTGGTTTATCGCAGAGTAATATCAGTTTTCATTCATGTAGCACTTGAACTTTCTATGTTAGTTTCTCATATACTGTGTCATAATTTACACAATATGCAACCCAGAAAGAGAATGGTGGTTTTGTTCCTCAATTTAATGACCTGTGTACCATTTACGTTAAATGATATTAACTTTCAAGAGCAATAATCACATTACTTAGTCATTCTATAATATTTAGAGATTTCTTGTTCGTGTATCTAAAGAAATTTGCAAGTTATCTTTTTTACCTTCTTTCTTTCTGGTTCCTAAGCTTATTTATCAAATAATTATTATGAGAACAAATTACAGGAAATAGAAACATAGTTGAAAAGGACAGAAATACATATCTAAATCTTTAGAAAATTATCAAAAATATTTATCAGGAAAGATAATGTGTAATTATACTGTTTTTATTTTTGAAATTTACCGTTGTTTTTTTAATTTTTTTTTTTTTTTTTGCTGGTTCCAGGGTCAGGTTCATGTCGCTTTAGTTACTCAGACCCTAGCATCATCGTGTCCTATGCCAAGAACAATACTGCAGACTGGATTCAACTTGAGAAAATTAGGTTTGTTATCATTTAAAGGGTTTTCACAAATTCTGATGTAACTGGATTTCTCTTTTCCTATTTGCCTCCGTGGTACCACTGCCATTTTCTTCATGGTTGAAAGCACTCTGGTTGTTAATTATGTTGCATTATATGAGCGCACATAGTAGGACCTGTTCTACTTGAGAAAGATATTGTTAGATGTGTCATTTTCCGCTCAGAACTTCCTGTAGCCTATATTCCTTGTGTCAAACTATTTTAGGAAAAAGTACATTTGGGAACATAACCCTTTTGCTAGTATCCTCCACAAAATAACATCACCTTCCATTGCTGTAGGTGACCTGACTCCAGCCTGGTTTATAGAAGAAGACTGGGGGTTGACTTTTCTGTGCTGACATGGAGTTCATAGCCGCAGGGCCTTTGCATTTCGTCTCTAGTTCTGCCATTTCCTTTATGTCTCCCTTAAGGCCCATTTTAAAAGTCTATTAGCATAATTGTGATACAACTAATAATCAGATATTTTTTATTAAAAATAAAAATGAGGTAGGATGTTTGAAGAAGGAGAAACTCATTCATGTTAAAAGATTTGGTAAAAGTAGCAAAACAATGTTTACCACATCTGCAGAATTAAGTCATAAAATAAACGTGGATGCCTAATTTCAGATATAAGATATTTAAAGAAAAAAAATGCCTTGAACAAAGTGATTATTATGGTTGGATTAATTCTTAAATTAGCATAACTTAAGTAGTACATTTTCAATCAGCTTTCTGACAATTTTTTTCCATTAGCTGTTTTCCTTACTTTATTTTCATACAAAAGAACTATTAATAATCTTAATACTAAACCAATTTATACATTTCTAGCAGTATTTAAAAAATAAAAATAAAGAAAACCTTTACATGTCTGAGAGAGAGTTTTAATAAACTCCCTCTGTGACAAGGTAAAATATAATTTATGAGTTTCTAGTACAATCTGAGGTCTGATATGCCACACCAATTTTGTAATGTATTGTTATTCTTTCCAATTTCTAGTAGTTATGAAGCTGCATTCATATTAAATACTTATTTATATAAATGACTTTAAGCAAGGCAGCATAAATTTTAGCAATTTTATATCTTCACATTTTCTTTCTAGTATGTTATATATCATAGCTTAAATAAATTATAGTGCATGTTTCTTGCTGAAAAATAACTATGCTTTTGATCTGATACCTAGTGAAACTGCACATTTAATTACAACATAAAAAGATCACATTCAGCTAAGTCCATTTATTTTTTCACTAAATGCCACTTCTGGTTTTAGGCCATGTACCAAAACATCCTTCTCATTAATGGAAATTTTCCTTACCAGGGAAAATCCAAATGAAAGTATTTTTCAGTCACTACCTAAAAGCAAGATATATTCTCTTAATCAATTTACATTCTTTTTGAAGCTAAAAAGATAGTCATCATGAAATATTTTAAAAGAGGAGAGAATTCATTACCCCCAAAGGTAAGGTACACCATCTGTAACCTACACTGACAATTCTACAGATATATATGTGCTTCATTGGTGAGTGAAAAATATGGCTTTTCTGTAGTCCTTCCAAAACTGATTTATAGCAAGTCCAAGGTACCACTAGTTTGCATTTTAGTACCATTTTTAATCTTGACTAAGGCGATCATTTTTACTATAGCATATTTCTACTTTGGTAGAATAAAATGTTTAATAAAAATATTTTATTATATAGCAGAAGGATCTAGATTCTAACAGATATAATATAAAAATCATGATAAAATTATATCATTTTTAAAAACTGACCTACATGAAACAGTAAAGAATAATGAATGAGTACCTTTAATTCTCATAGCAAATCTCACATTTTGTGTTGACTTAACATATAAAATTGTGTGTGGTTACTAGAAATAAACTAATTGTTACTTAAACATTGGATTATTAAATATATTCATACAATGAACTCTAAAAAGTGAGTAATTTCAAAGTAAGAATCAAGACTATGATCATCATTTTCTACATTTCCTCCTTTTTTACTTGTAAGTTACTTATTTTAGATTGAATATCTACCATGTGCAAAACCTGAGCAAAATACGTTTGGATTTTTTTAACCCAACAAGGAAGTGTGTAGCACTTTCTTATGCTCAGTGACCACCTTGTGTTAAATGTAAGCTTCTTGAAGACCCTTAATTTTTAATTTAACATCACTCAATATGAAAATTAAAATAGCAGATATTGAAAGATTCAAGGGTGATGGAATTAGTATTTGTAATGAATATGTTTTTGAGATTGTGAAACTATAATATTAAGAAAAAAAATCATCTAAAGAAAGAAAAAAAATGGATTATGTTGAACTCTGTCTCTCCACATATTCCAGAGCCCCTTCCAATGTCAGCACAATCATCCACATCCTCTACCTTCCTGAAGACGCCAAAGGGGAGAGCGTCCAGTTTCAATGGAAGCAGGAAAATCTCCGTGTAGGTGAAGTGTATGAAGCCTGCTGGGCCTTGGATAACATTCTGGTCATCAATTCCGCACATAGACAAGTCATTTTAGAAGACAATCTTGACCCAGTGGACACTGGCAACTGGCTCTTCTTCCCTGGAGCAACAGTCAAGGTTTGAGCTCTTGAGTTCTTTCACCTTCCTTCTGAAACCTAAGTCTCAATAGCCAAATTATGCAAGGATAACTATGTTACCAAATCATTATTAAAAGAATAAATGATATTAACATTTTTTCCATATCTTTTAAGGATGGAATATCACTATTAATAAACATTCATTTATTCAGTCAACAAGTATCTTTTGAAGACCCACTGTGCTATGTACTGGGCTGAACCCAGAAGACATAATACCAAATAGGCACTTTGTGTGGCTGTTAATTTAGTGGAGGCAGGTATATATTTCAACATCCAATACAAAACAGCCTAATTGTTATCATTTTCTGGGAAAGTTTACAGTGTCAAGACAGTATAGCATGTAGTACCAGATCCAGGAATGAGATGTTAGAGAGGTTATCCAAAGAATAGGGAATCCAGGCAAGGATTAAGGTTAATTGGGTGTTGGTCACATTGGAGGAATAGTGTTTCTATTGAAAATCTTATACAAAAGGCTAGGTTATAAACTGAATGTTTGTGCCTGCCCACAAACATGTTGAAATCCTAATCCCATTATGATGGTGTTAGGAGATGCAGTCCTTGGAAGGTCATTAAATCATGTAAGTGAAGCCCACATGCATGGAATTAGTTCCCCTACCAAAAGGACCCCCAAAATCTTGCTAGCCCTCTCCCCATTATGTAGGGGTAGTGCAAGAATCAGGAAGTGGGCCCTTACCAGATACCAAATCTTCTAGCACCTTGGTCTTAGACTTCTCAGCCTCCAGAACTTAAACAAATATTTGTTATTTCAAATACCCAATTTATGGTATTCTGTTACAGCAGCCCAAACTAAGACAGGTGGGAAGATGAGAGCACAGAGCAAAAGTCTTTGTTGAAGTTCAAAACAATTGATATTTATTGGTACTGAGGATTGAACCCAGGGGTGCTTAACCACTGAGCCACCTCCCCAACCCTTTTTAATATTTTATTTAGAGACAGGGTCTCACTGAGTTGCCAGGTGCCTTGCTAAATTGCTGAGGCTGGCTTTTAACTCATGATTCTCCTGCCTCAGCCTCCTGAGCCACTAGTATTACAGGTGTGCATCATTGCACATGGAAATTGTCCAGTATATTTTATGTTGAGACTTGTGATAGGTAATTCTGGAGATAGGGCTAATGATAAGACTCAAAGGTCCTATAAACTGCTGTAGTTTAAACTTTATCCAGAAGGTGACAGTTCTTCAAGTGCTTTAAATAAGAGTCAATCCAATCTGACTTTTGAGATATTCCTTTATTTCAAAAAGGATAGAATGGAAAGAGGAGCAAGTTGAGTGCAGAGATCCAAAATAGGAGCTGATTACAGTATTCCAGTGAAAGATCATGGTTGGCCAAAGGTAGGGAGAAAGGAGGAAATATCTTAGAGATTTTTAAAAGGGAGTGAAGAAGACTGGGGACGGGTTGAGAAGATGAGGGAATGACAGATGTCAAGGATAAGGTTTGAGCAACTGAGTGGACAGTGTGTCATTCACTGAAACAGAAAACAGGAGGAAGAACAAGTTCACAGGAAGTTGATGATATCACTTTGGACATATAGATCTTGATAAATTGAGGGCAAGCAAGAGTATTTGGCAGGAGATTGGATGCATGGGTCAGAAGTTCAGAGGAAAATCCAAATTTTGCAATTATCAATAGGAATTGAAATCATGGGCTTGCCTACCCAGGAAATGCGTAAAATAATGAAACAACATGGAAAATGTCATTAGACTCTCAACTGGACCCTTCTAAGTTTCTAATATGTGAAAATAAAATGCAAAAATAGCTTGGATAATTTTTTAAATGTGACTTACTGATGTGCTGGATGAGGGTTAGATCTCAGGAAGAGTAAAGAGTATAAAGATCCAAAATGTTCACTTCTTAATAATTTATTTTTGTACTAGAAAAAGGATTGCAAATTATTTAGTGAACGCTTAACACAGCAGCTCTCCTGACACAAATAACTTTTTCCTTAGCCAATCAAATCCTAGTCATTTTATTTCAAGTTGATGAAATTATTATATCAATTATCTGGTATTAGAAACAGGCATCCTCTCTGCTCAATTTAGCAATATTTATTCTGACAAACCTTCTGAAGTCTGGCTCCCTTAAAAAGAGTCCACACATTACTTTTGCTTGGATATAAAAATGAACTTTTGTCAGCGTATCCTGTGTGTCATCCCATGGCCACTTGATTAAGAGGAATTTCTTCTGTCATTCTGTACTGGCCAGGAAGTGTGCAAAACCGGAGACCTCAGGGTCTGGGATTCACATCATTTTCCCATGGTGATTATTTGTCATTTGGTCTCAGTAGCCTTTACTGCATAAATGTACTTTTTTCTGCCTCATTTTACAAGCTATTATACTAATCTGATTAGGTATTCAGTTTCTAAATGCATGTACTTTGGTACCACCCATGATAAAGAATGCATGAAGTGTGGTTTTGCTTCAGTAGTAATTTTAATTAAATTACAACTCTGGGTAGAATACACTTTAGCTTTCCATAAGCTTAGAATCATAAGCTGAGATTTGCCAGGTGACCTAAGCTACTAAGAAAAAAAATAATTGTGGTAATGATATTTGTTATCTTTTCAATTGGCTGTCAGAAAATTTTCTCAAAAGATTCTTTTTAAAACTTCAAATAAATGCAATGAATTTGTCCTTTTAACTCATTTGAATGACGATCCCCTTTTGATTTTTGATTCAAATGTCTCAGAATGGAATATTGCTTTTGCCAAGTGATTCGGAACTTTAAAAATAAAAATTGTTTATACTGCATGTAATTTGTCAAATATTGTTCCTTTATTTGGTGGCCTCTAAGCTGAAAACTGAATACCATCAATTAGAAAACATACATCCATGTTCATATTTATTATAAAGATGTGTTTTAAACATTGCTTTATTTTGAATTTTGGATTGTGATGGTTGTGTTTGTTCAACCTACACTTTATATTTTCCGTGTTCATTAAACTTTTACAAGATATTTTCATTTTAACTAAATCAAAGAGAAGTATAGGATCAATTGAGAAAGTGTGCTGTATTTCAAAGTAATTTGTAATTCAAGGAAAAATTTTTGAGCTCCAGTAGAATTATCTGGCTGAGTAATAGCAGCTGCTTTTTATTGATCACTTATGCTTCAAGTCACTTGCTGTTACACACACACACACACACACACACACACACACACACAAATGTGTATGTGTATACTCATGTATACACAGAAATATATGCATGCACACATATTATCTTGTATAATTGATCCTTTTAAACTTTAAAGAAAGTGCTATTTGGCTCCATTTTTCAGAAATGAAACTAGAAGGTAGAAGTGTTGCATAACCATCAGTGGCAACTCCAGGATTCCCATCCAGGAATCTGATTTTAGAATTCTTGCTCTCAGTTGACACATAGCTTTGCTTTTACAAGAAGGGAGTATGAACTGATGTGCTTCCTGATTATCCTGGGTTTCTTCCCAGTACCAACCTGTTAAATTATCAGCTCATTTTCTCCCCTCCCCCCATCATTGAATGGCTACAGGTTAAAATATTCTTATGTTTCCTCATATTTCTTGGTATTACTCCAATTTTGTTCCCTGCGTAATATGTGTTCCTTCCTTCAGATGACTGGCTTTTCACATTTTAGAATTTAGCAGTTCAGCCTAAATATGGTCATTTATCTCTCTTTTATATTGTAATAGTTAATTTTCAAAATTCTAGTTGCTGGTCCATCTCAGGTATTGACTGCTGACCTAAAGTGAACTTAAGAAGGTCTAAGAATTAAAATATTTCCCTGTGGAGACAGGAGGTATTTGCAGTAACCCACATGGGAGATACAATAGAGTAGGGACTGTGGGACTGTGAAGAAGGAGAAATCGAGTCTTATAGTAGCCAACTGCCTGACAAGGACATTGGAACCAAGGATCATCCAAAGGGATGCCCCTGAGGAACTCTCCAGTATCATTCCTTATGTAGAAGATTACATTATGTTACCTCCATACTCAAGACCTTTGATGGCTCGCTGCATAGGCCTGGATGATACAAAGTAAATTCCCTAGCACATAATCCAAAGCCATTGCCAACCTAACCATTGTGTGTGTGTGTGTGTGTGTGTGTGTGTGTGCGCGCGCGCACGCTACTGGAGATTGAACCTGTGTGCTCACACATGCTAAGCAAGGGCTTTAACACTGAGCTGCATCCCAGACTCAGCCTGACTTTTCATTCTCATCCTTTGCCTAGTTGTGCTCTAGTATTGCAAGCATAACACTGAATTTCACACTCCCTGTTCTTTGCAGATGGTTTTTCACCTTTCCTCTTTCTTTGCTTAGTAAATCTTCTCCATCTTTAGTTGCCCAGTTCAAATGTGTTTGTCTAAGTGAAGTTTTGTGGGCAAATGTCTTCCTTCCCTCCATAGCACACCATTAGGATAAACAAACAGAACTTGTTGGAGTGAGAACTGGATACAAGAAATAATGCCATTCTATTTCCAGTGGCTATCCATGTTCATTTCTTAAAAAATATTTTTTAGTTGTCAATGGACCTTTAGTTATATGTGGTGCTGAGAATCAAACCCAATGTCTCATATATGCTAGGCAAGCACTCTACCACTGAGCTACAACCTCAGCCCTTTCCATATTCATTTTGACAGCTTTTTTATTCCTGCCCTCATTGCACAAAAACTAGAATAGGTTCCAAGAGTGCTAATTGACAAAATAAAAAAGTTTTCCAACTACTGTAGTTCTCCAAATGTCTCAGTTCAATATCAAATGTGATCAGTTCATTATAATGTGCATACTCCAAGTGTCACCCATAGCTCCTCTGCTCCTCCATCTCAGGTCCTATTCAGGAGGAATAGGGGCAGCTTCTTCTTACCACCTGTGACTAGTTGCAGCTTTTGACCCCTCCTGGCTGGGTCTGGAGAAAGAAGAGGCAAGAATCAGATATTATGGGGAACTGTCATTTTTTTGATCCTTGGGCCTGACAAGTGATCAAAGCTG